TGTGTGTGTGTGTGTGTGTGTGTGTGTGTGTGTGTGTGTGTGTGTGAGAGAGAGAGAGAGTGTATGTGTTTGTAAATCTTAGGAAGACTATTTTGTATGGTTTTATCACAATATTTTTATACCCTAATTTACCCCTATGTAGGGGTTGCTTAAAATGCCTGAAACACGTGTTTTATTTATTTTATGTTAAGTTTTAATGCGTAGTATTAAAAAGTTTTCATTCATACTTTAATATCCCATTTCACCCCTACAGGAGTAGTTAAAAACATTCATGGTAATTTTTTACCATTTGCATTATAAAATATTTACTAAGTTTCATCTTTGTTATTTCGAAAAATAGTTTTTTTCACACAAATACTTTTTTATTTACAACTCATACATCATACAACTTGAATTTCAAAAACCCGTTCTTAGTACGCCTACACTCAATAAAAGTAACATATCATCAGGTTTTCTGTCATTCACACTTATGTCTGTGCTCCGGATTCTACTCTTCTATATTAATATAAGATTTAGGTAGTCTTTCGTACAATTTAAACATTAGCTTTTGTCTACGTCATCAACTGCTTACGATTGTAATAATCCTATCCGATCCCGTATTATTCAACACGATAATGTAGAAGTGTTAACTTATCGGTTCTCTTTATATTCTTGATAACGAATTTGTTGAAAGCAAATAGTATGCATTGCGATTCATTACAAGAGATACACAATTACACATAAAATTCAGATTTAAGTTAGTTTTATAGTACAACATGATTGTGGTTTTCGTTTATTAGATTATAAGCAGGCTTAGATTTAAAGTTACTGAAATAAAATAAGGTATTGTAAATAATAAAGTACCCTATTTTTTTCAGATCCTGAAACCGAGGACGGTGTCAGTTTTGAAAACATTCTATACAAAGGAGTTATTGAAGATGGAATCGTTCAACACGAAAGGATTACAGTCTTGGGCTATGATGGAACAGAAATACAAATTCTCGGAGGTAACAAATTTTATTTTATCCTCCTTAGCAATATCACTTGAAAAGCGTAAAAGAGATAATGTACAATATTTTTAAGTCAATGTAAAATGATAGATGTTAATACATTAACGTACAAAAAATTAAGATCGTCTCATATTAACAACCTACCTATCAAGTTAAACCATGAGATATGTAATGACGCTATGTAAGATCGGGTGCCGATGTCGCCACTTTTTAGCTTGTTTGCAATTCAAACTTTACGCTCTATTATCTACTACCATAACTTAAAGATTTTGATTGGGTAGGGCTTAAAACGTGAAAACGACGTAAAACAATTTTAAAATTTAACAAAATTAAACTTACAGTCACTTGAATAAGAGTTATATTACAATATTTCAGTATTTTTTTCATCCTGGTTCAGCCATTCACCAATAGGTGGCGTTTTAGTAAAAATACTACTGGTATATAATAGCTAACTATCACACGTTAGATGGCGCTGAAGCTCATTTTTCGTTACACTAAGAACTCACGGAGCGGTTTTCACCCGCGTCTGCCGCGGGACCGCGGCATCTGTAGAATGTAACAGTTAAGTATATAAAATTAGTAGCACATTTCATGGCGCGTTTTACGCCTGTAGTGGTGACGGTTGTTCGCGGTTGCCGCGGCAGGGTACTAGTAGAACCGCGCAGGACGCGATGACCTGCGCGCTTGGCTGCCGTCGTCGCCCGCACACTTTGGCGGTCTGTTCAGGCACAATGTGGTGTTAGCGCACGCAAGGTGAGTTCTCTATTAACCGCGCGACTTGCAATTAACTCCTACTAACTTCGCGGTCCGTTCCACAATCGCAACGGTTTCGTACCCGCAACCGCGGCAGCTACGTGCCCGCACAAATTTGCAGGGTTGTGAGTATTGAAATAAAACCGCTGTCTAGCAGCACCTGCGGGCGCGGATGGAAACCGCTCCGTGAATTGGTAACCTTATTAACCTTAAACTGACACTACTCAACGAGTGATGTGGTCCTACCTAATCGATAGTTGGAAACCATATGGCTGTTTTTAATATTAAAAAAATATTCCATTTTTCATACTATACCTACACTGGTACTGGTGTATTATTAAATTAATATAAATATTATTATTTTCTTAATGGCCGCCACTAGGCTTGGACCAGTGTCAGTTATATAAGAATAATATAAAAAATATGGCGACTGTCGCCAGTGTCAATTTTCCATTATACGTTACCACGAGTTGGTGAAGCTGTCACTGTCAAGACTAAACTCAAATCATTAACGAATTTAATAAATTAAATTATGCTGTTTTTTTATGAAGGATTTATGTAATTTTCTATAAATGTTTCTAATTTATTTTGCATGCACAAAGTAAAGTAAAGTGAAGCCGATTTTATTTTATTTATTTTTAAAATGCATTTGCTGTGGAAATTGAAACAAAGTCAGAAATAGTAATAAGAATACCAATCTTTCGATTTTCCTGCAGCTTCAATCCAACCTTCTTTTATTTTGAACTCATTGGAAAAACTTAAAAATTAAAAATACTCTACTTTTAATCTACGAGTATAATGAAATTTAAATATCTAAAACACATAAATTTTTCTTCAAGCAACAGCCACATCCAAATTGACATAAAAATGGAAACGGTTGTCCGAAATATGAGTTGTGTTAAAGTTACTCGAAATAAAATGTTTAGTAATAATAATAATAATAATATAAAAGAAATCAATTTAACGTGAATGATTTTCGCTTCGATATTTTAGGGATTTCAATTAAAAATCATAGTAAGAAATTCAAACACTTCAGTAAAAATTTATTGTCGATAAACATCAGTCTTCGTAAATGAACATCACTATATTTGAGTCTACAAATTTCTATTGAGACAAGAGAAAACATTGAATAATAATAGAAATATTAACTAAAAATGCAAATAGCCGGTGGAATATTATCTCACTGGTTTTAAAATTTTTGTTTTCACTCCAATTTTTACAAGGTGTATCGCTACAACTTCGCATTTTCACGTTTTACGAGAGATCTTGTGTGTACAACGATCGCCATTCTTCATTCATTCTGAGGGGCACTGCCACTGCGCCCGTCACCCTGAGACATAAGTTAACTAGTCCCAAGTGCCTGTAATTTTACCAGCACCATTAACCCTTCCAAAGCGGAACGCAGTAATACTCCCATTACTGCTTGGCGACAGAAATAGGTAATATGGCAGTACTTTCCTGAACGAACTCTTTCACAAGGAGCTCTACTGCTACTAAAAGTATGTAGGGTCTAAAATTAAAGTGTAAAAAACGCTCTGTTATTTAACAGACATAATGTGTATTAATTAACATAACGTGGCAACAAATAACGTTCAGCGTAATTTAGTGTTATGGATATTTTTTTTATAGAAAACTAGCTGGTGGAATAAGTATTTCGAGTAGCCTACTGTACCTATTACTAACTTGAGAAATTATTGGTTCTCCATACAAACTTCCATCTGGGGGAAAATTTCACCCCCTTTATGACAAGAAATGGCCTTGTTCTTCTCCTACGTCCTGTCTATATCTATACCAAAATTCTTCAAATTTGGTTCAGCGGTTTAGGCGTGAAAATGTCACGGACAGAGTTACTTTCACATTTATAATATTAGTTTGGAGCACGTCATAGAGTTACACATGAATATCGGTGAAGACTGATAGTGGTGTTTAAAAACTTCTAGCAACCTAAAACTGATTGAAAGGAAAATTTAAAACACACGTTGCCCGTACACGCAACGGCCATATTATGCCCAAGAAGACCACATACCGATGTGCGAACTCTACAGTACCTACATACTTACGTTAAACATATTTAAGTAAGGTATGATTTTCTTATTTTTCAGATCATGGGAGTTTATTTGAAGCATCAGTATCAGAAGATAACGTAATCGTAAAAGGTGTAGAGTTGGCGAACTTGCCTCTTGATGTGTCTTTTGTTGTCTTGGAACTAAGAATAAACGAAGCAGGAGCCGTATTGTTACTTAATGTCAAGCAGGGTACGTTTTGAAAAATGTTTTCATTTCGTTGGAGCAGGCTGCGGGACTTAATTCTCTGCACCTATTAATTTCCTGTTCTCATTTACGATTCATTTAGACTTACGAGTATTTCAATATTCCGCAAAGTCACATTACCTTAGGGCAGATATTATAATCTATTAAAAACCGTATAATCTTTTCGTTTACTACATATTAAATAAAAACAAAATTGATAGTGTATATTAATTTATATAGCACTATAAAATGATACAAATGTACAAAGACACTTGTTAACTTAGATATAGATATACTTCGATAAAAATAAACTACTTAGAGCACGGCAATCCAGCCGACATACAATATAATCATAATTATATTTTCTAATACGATTTATCTACAATGACGTGTCTGATAAAAATAATATAAAATAAATGATTTTGTCACCGATAAAATCAATTAAATATAATATGGACACCTTATAATGGACCTTTTACAAGTAGTATTAAATTTTATGTTATACAATTTATATAACTAAAATGTAATTACAGTAGCTAATAAGATTTACCTTAAAATTAGAATGCCAATTCAAAAGCACATTTAAGATTAATATACACCTAAAGTGCATTGCCAACAGTCGCAAGCGCAAAAAAGATACCAATACTAATATAAAATCACTATAGCAACCATCACTATATTAAGGTAGTACCTTAATTATTTTACAGAAACTCCACCGGAAAATGTTAGTTTCGACAAGACACTTTATGAAGGAATTATTCAAGCTGGCGTTGTTGAACACGAAATTATTACCGTCAATGGATACAGCGGGAGCAGCGTTAACATTTCAGGAGGTGGGTACACATTTAGGATTTCTTCTGTGCTAATTCCCTTAGACAAGTCATGATTTCAAGTATTTTTCGTCGAACTAAAAGCTCCAACTGTTTTAGTCTACAAATATACCTATCAGTAATCCAGAGTGAGTATTTTCCACAGAGAAGTTAACTCAAAATCGAATCTGAGAGATTTTCAACAGAAACTCACATGTGTGACAATCTGTATGAATTAACAACACTTTAATCTTGTATTGACTTGCTCACTTATGCATAATACGTATACAAAACACTGGCACACACCATCTATATCTATGGCACGCACAAACAATTGCCCCCAATTATTATTTTCAACAAAATCAAATAAAATAGTAGTACTATGTCACTAGCGGTACCAGAATCTCATCTTAAAGAAATAACAGAACTTCCGTTATTTAGTCTCGAGACGATGCAAAGCACCCCTTTCTCTCGGGCACTTACATATACCTAACTCTCTCATATTTCGATCTCAATCAAATTACAATGCTACACTTAACTTATTTAACGATACGGAACATTGACGTTTTGAAAACGAAACGTTTTGAAACAGGAATTGACTCAGTGTGGGCAACAAACGTGCTTACAGGTACAGGCATCTCCAACAAAACAATTAGGCAAAAAAGCATGCTATTTATTCAAAAGTAATTAAAAATGCTGTTGCTATGTATTATTACATATTATCGTCTGTGATTTCAAATAGAGTGGACATACTAATCGTTTCTTAAGTAATTTTTATTTATAATAGTGGTAAAAAGTTAATAGTTTTCGTAAATAAATACACCATAAGCTGTGTTAGAGTGAACTTATTGTACTTCCAACTATCAGGGCAACATTCTGGACCTGGTGCTAAGTTCTCACGCTGTCGTATGCGCAAAGGAGTGTATGACTCCTTTATCCAAAGTTGACCAATTTCATCCACCTATAGAGTTTTCATTTTGTTTTGCCGCTAATAAAAATATGTCTGCGCATAATAAAATACGCGAAGCGGGTTGGAGTACTGTAGTGTTGTATGGAACCCTTTCTATGACGTCATACGTACGACGACATGTGTACACGTGTACAAAAAGAAACTTGAAAGAGTACAAAAAAGATTCGTGTGGCACTTGACCTATTCCTGCTTTCTTGCTAAGTCCTTAAAGAATTACGACGCCAGACTTGAGCACTTTAAAATGGAAACATTATCGCTTCGTAGGAATACACTTGACAGTCTGTTCTTATTTAAACTAGCTCGTGGAATTCTAGACACGCCTGACTTACTGAACGAACTCGGCTTTAACATACCGCGTAGGTTGCCAAGGTCCTCGCAGTGTTTCAAGTTATTGTGGACCCCCAGCTCCCATTCAAACTTGGGCCACTTTGCACCTTTGGCCAGACTGGCACACCAGCATAACAATAATCTTGACAAGACAGTTGACATCTTTGCTGAAAGTTTGCCTAAATTTAAACGTTCTGTGAAGTCCCTGACATCTTAAAAAATATATTGTATTCGATTATTTTTATGATTTATATTTTTATTACTTTATTATGGATTCGATTTTTTTTTACTAGCTTTATCAACGACATTTATATTTTTTCAATTTAATTTGTTTGATTGATTAAAATTGCAGTAGTAAATGTTAAAATAACACTCTTATTATCTTGCATGTTGTCTTCACCTATAATTGCTATAGCATTAAGCTTTTGTTTTGTATTGTTAAATATTTGAATGTTGTAATGTATATAACGCACACACTCAACATAACCCCGCACTAGGGAAACCCTGTGTCGCGGGTGCCATGGACACACACATAAACAACCACAAATTACACCCAAACTCACGAGAGAAATAAATGTAGGCCATACACATATTTCTCCCGGCCTGGGATTCGAACCCAGGACCTCTGCATGGCAGTCCGGCATGGTAACCGTTCGGCCACGGAGGCAGTTAGTATAGTGTTGGTGAACTAAATAAATAAATAAATAAATAATAAATAAATGTAACACATTATTATTTATTTTTATTTTATTTACTCATTTACGTCAGGCAAACGCGAGCCATTTCATTTTTGCTTTATTCATTTTGTCGCCTGACGTCCTATTTGTGGCCCTTGAAATGAGAGTAAGCGATGCCGGC